GAAAATAGTTTGTGAAGAAAAATAGAGTGTGAGAGATATTGTAGTGAGGTGGAAAAAGCAAAACAGTGTTTATTTCTTTTGAGGGTGTAGTGGTCTTCAGGGTATTTTTTACTCGTTACTACATAGTGTAAAATTCCTCGCTATAGTGATATCAGTTGCTCTTCTTGGCCGTGGTTTTTTCCCTTATTCAGAAGGGTTTCCACGTAAAATCTTGGTGTCATTATTGTTGTATTTCTATTCTTGTTGATTTAACCATAACTTAGTGTTCTGCGTTTATCACTAATACCGTGAATACTATTTTTACGAGGTTTATTCCCAACAGGAAGCAAGAGAATTTGTAATTTGTGCGGTTAAGAAGAATCCGAGATCAGAAATTAGAGGAAATTGTGTTGCTTCTCTTGTAGAGTATAAGATGTTCATTGACCGTGTTTTACAAGATGGGGTTCATCGCCAAACGTCAACTTCAGAACAGAGTACTATGATTTTGTCTAAGAACAGTCCTGTGATGGTGGAAAGTAACTCGGCTGATGTTTTCTCTATGGGACAACTAGAATCAAAAGATGGAATGTTGGTTCTTGTTAATCAGACTGATTCTGATGAATTCTTTGGAATGGTGAACGTGGAAAATCAAGAATGCTATTATCACGAAGGTGATGAGGAGAAAGTTGATTGGGAATCTATATTGGATTTTGGGGATCATGGTTCAGTGCAGAATGACTTGCTTTACTAATTCTGGAAAATTGGAACTTGGTAGATTTTTGAAAAGGGTATTTTTTGTTCGTGAGATATGTGTGAAATCTTAGGGATTCTGACATTGACTTATTGGATATTTAGATTATGTTGGTGTTACAATAACAACCAACACATTTTTTCATCATCGATTTTGTGCAATGTAGATGATGTTGTCGTTTTCTCAAGGTCTCGGTGACTCTTAGAGTTCATTCTTATTGTTTATAATGAACAGTTCAATTATGGAAGATGCTCTTTTTTATTTTGATTTTGCTCCTTTGTTGATGTCCAGTTTCTTTGATGTATTTGACATTTTCTCTTGATGTTCAGTTTTGTGTTTTCCTGTTTATAGAATTTTGTTGTTTCACTATTTTTGGGCTGTTGGTATAGGATCACTCTTCGTATGATCTGTAATATCAAGCTGCTAAAAGTAAGACAACAGCAGCAAATGAGAGAAGTCGGATTAATTTAGTACCTTAAGACTTTGATGATGAGTCTTAAGAAGTGAAAACAGAATGCACAGACCATTGATGTTGAGCTACGCATTTTTTGGCATCTGAAAGCAATACTTCCTCCAGTTCACTATCGAATTCGACAGTTGGTCATTTTTGTATGTCTTGTTGGCTAAATGGCAAACTTATGGAATGTTTTCTCTTGTACACTTCATTTGTGCATCCTATTAGTCGCTTTGCTGGTCCCTGTATATGCTATTTCAGCTTCTTTGACTCTTCCCTGATACTCTTCTCAGCAACAATTTATAAAGCCATATTTCCTCTAGAGTAGCTTATATTAGATGGACTCTCTCTATCTTTCCCATCCCAATCCCAACCTCTACATCCTTACTTATTAGACCATTTTCTCCAACTTATTCATGTTTCTTCTGCACCAAACAACTGAAATCTGATTCCAAGGTAACATATAACAAGGATAAATTACCTCAAGTTAATCACTTTAGCAAGATAAAGGTGAACAATTATGTTGAAGCAGAGCAAAAGTCTCATTTGCCACCCTAATGCCTCCAGCTTTATTCCTACTATAGAAATTCTGAAAAAAATGCAGTGAACACAAAGCTTTTGTTGTCCGCTTCTTCTAACTGAATCATGATGGTGCTTCCCCATAGTTCCAAAAGCCCTTTTCTTCTTTTGAACTAATGTTTAACTCTGAATCAGTCTAATCATAACGCGTGTTGCTAACATGAAGTAGAATTTTGGAGTTAATAGGCGGCGCAAAAGATCCAAAGTGGGAGATATAGTTGGGAGCAAAACGGAGTGGCTTCACTGTTCAAGGTAATATGAACGCCTCAGTGTTCTTTGGCTTTTCACTTGTGCTGTATACATGGGATGTTTGTTCAATAAGCAATTTGTCCATTGATTCAATGTTTTACTTTGTATCTTTCTTTGTGTTTTCGTGGATTGTGCTAATTCTGGTCGGTGGGGTTTGTGGGCTGCTCCCACCCGTGAAAAGAACAACCTTTGGAGGAGCATTTAAAAGACATGTTATAACTATACTAGTCACTAATGCTTTAATCGTTTTATAGCTTCTCATCCAAAGGAGGTAACAACTTTTTTCTTCCTAGACTTTTCTGTTATAGAGGGGGGTTGGGGAAGGGTATTGTGAGAATCAAACACACACCTTATGCATGGATACTTTGACGAGTAACGCGTGTTAAACCTTGGTGTTATGAGGGGCTAACATCTCAATCTGTCAGTCATGGTTTCCCAATTTAACTCGAAAGTTTGTAGTTTAGAAAGGAAGATACGTCTATGCCTTTCTTTATTTTAGTATAATGTTAGCAAAGTGCAGCAGATTAGTCAAAAGTGAAAAGCACAAAAAGCTCCAAAGTCTGCTGGAGCTTTAAGCACAATTAAAGTGTGGAAAAAAAATAAAAACTGAAATGTAATGCAAAAATATGTAACTACAAACACAAATAATAATTATTTGGACAAAAGAATAGAAAACTATAATCAAGCTATATATATGATGTTGTGCCCTTAAAGACAGAGCCCACTGGTGAAGGTGCAGACGCCTAACACCTTGACGCCTACACTAAAGCGCCAATTAAGTGAGCACGACCTGGGCTTTACCGAGCTTCAGGGCTTAACCGCGCTTTAAGCTAGCCTTTAACAACACTGAAGTGCAGTAGTTGAGTTTCCTGCATATCCAGTGGCATTTCATGAATTTTTAACATGAAGAGATTGTGGTGTCCGAGGTGTCCTATGTCCTTTCTTAATCTAGGTTTTATTTGCTTTGATCTTTTAACATTTTTCTGCTTTTTTTTTCTATTAGGATTTAGCCAAGATTTCAGCATATAGGGATAGAAGCTTTCCAGGAACACAGGAAGAATTTGAAGATGCTTTGCTGAAGTCGACAACTGTTTATGTGGGGAACATGTCCTTCTACACAACAGAGGAACAAGTGTATGAGCTGTTCTCTCGTGCTGGAGAGATTAAAAAGATAGTGATGGGATTGGACAAGAATTCCAAAACTCCTTGTGGTTTCTGCTTTGTAATGTATAGCTCGAACCTTGCTTTCAATCTCCAATTTTCATTTTGTGTTGTTAACCTTCGACTGTATAATTTCTTCTCCATTTACGGTATGCCTGCTACAGCTTTAACTATTTCCCTTTAGTTCTGTTTTTGTCTACTTGTTTAGTAAGGATATTGATATTATGCATTTGGCATTTGTTCACGCCGACTGGCAAATATAAGAATCATGTTCTCTACTCCTACAAGTATCGATCAACTCTTAGTCGCTGTGTCTTAAGAATTAGATGTCACATTTTACAGTCCCGACTATTAATACAAGGAACTATTAACTTAAGAAGTATTGTAAAGATTATTAAATAGGCTTATACCACAATCGTTTGATCTGATTCTGTCAAATGTCCTTGAAGTCTAGGTAGGAAATAGCAGGGACTTACAAAATTTGAAAGCATTTCCACTTCTTTCATGGATTCAACCCTATTGCAATTATCTATCTAATTCTCACATAATGATCACTGTTAAACTTTGTTATGGATTTTTTGGTTTTAAAGAGTCCTACAACAGGAAGGGATATGCAGGAGAAAAGAAAAGAGGGAGGAGAGGAAGGGGAGTATTTTTCTGCATTTATTTGGAGAAAATGAAAGGTGCGACTGTTATTCGACATTAATCGCCTGATATGTAGTTATTTTGTTCGTAATCTTGAAGGTCCTTATTGATATTACAAAACGTTTAGTTAAATGGAGTCTCCGTTCTCCATGTTTCCTCTACTTTAACTGAAAAGGAAATCTCCCTCCTACTTGGTAGAAAAGAAAAAGAAAATTTCCCTCATATTTTTGTCTTAATCCTTCAAATCCGGGGTTGGTTTATCTTTGGCATAGTCTAACAGGTCGTAACAAAAAAAGGGAGTAGTTTGGCTGTGCCGTCTTTGATGTTATCTCTTGTTCTACTCGGTTGTCGCTCATTGGTTACCTTCTTAATGATGGAAGACAAGTTCATTAATGAGGAAAGAGAGAGTCTCTAGCCTGAAAGTCAGAGAAAGATGGAATATCTGAAGTAAATTCTATTATAAACATCAAGATGAGATTAGGTGTATATTCTGGTTTGTTACATGTATACTTTTGCGTTTATCTCCCATTCAACCCCTGCCCTGTTCAAAGGAAAAAAGCTGAAGAAGAAGTAAAATAAAAAAGGAGGCATGGGGAATATCATTTGCATTTGTAACAACTGTAAAACTTTTTTCAGCTTCTACTCTAGGGACGACACCGAAGATTCTGTCAAATATATCAGTGGGACAATTGTTGATGATCGCCCTATTTGTGTGGATTTTGATTGGGGATTTCAAGAAGGTAGATACTGGGGCCGCGGTAGGAGTGGTGGACAGGCAATCTCCTCAGTGGTCATTCTCATTGTGATTGAACTTTCGACCCCAAGACTGGTGCATCAGCATCTAGTTGTCTTTCTAGGTTCTATGCCACCATCTACAAGAACCACAAGCCGCAAGGTAGTGCATAAATAAAAGCTTTTAACCTCTTGCGATCATAAGATTCTAGAGCATTCTTTCTCAAGGACTTAGTAACCTTGATTTTCTTTAATTGTGTTTTGCTTTGAGTGACTGAACCTAGTGGTCTCAAAAGCTTCAATTTTCTACATCCTTCCCCTGTGGTTGTAGGATAATCAACTTGACGAAAGATGTAGAATTTCCATCTTGTCGCCAATGGAATGATTGCAAAGTTTTAACAAGACAATGGTTTTCTTTGTTATTTATGTTACAAGGAAATACCTCGAAGTAGATCTTCATTTATTCGTTTGTCATGAATTGTTAGAGGAATCAGAACTTCTATGATGTGGAGCAGCAGTACACTTTTTAGTGCAAGTGACCATCCTTTTGTGAAGGTGAATATTGGATCATAGATATGTTAATCAAAAATAGGAAAGATGGTTGATATTGTTTACATGGTTTTCTAATTTATACATTTGAAGAATTACGGTTTTGTTCAAAGAAAGACTTCTGATCTAACCCATGAATGTGCACAGAAATGCTATACTTTATGTTTAATCAATTAAGTAAGTTTTCATCACCTTATCTGTCGAATGGTTGAAACTCTTGCATGATAGTCCAAGCAACAGGGTTTAACAAGTCATTATTTCCTTTCTTTCTCCATTTATACTTAAGAATTTTGGATTGTCTTTTAATACCTTAACTAGTTATACGTCGAGGTGGTTATGGAAAATTGGCCCAAAAGGAATTGGAACAAAGACAGCTAGTGGATTATGGTACAGGATCATTGGCGCTTACCCACCAGTTATGCCGTCACAGTAGTCACCTCACTGTAAGTTTAAGGGATCTTAATTAACTAATGCTGTAAGCATAATGACTACATTCTGAATGTTCTGGTTGAAATGAGTTTGAGCTTCACTCCATGTTTCTTTCATGTCTTTTAGATACTGATTTTTATGCCTAACATACTCAGTACATTATTCATACTGATACCCCTATTGGATGGAGGCCTGCGTTTCATGCCTGCTGGTTGAATGGCAAATTCTGGATGTTAATGTTTTATGGTTTTGTTCCAGTTCTAAATTTTGAGCTAGCCGTATTTCTTCCCTATAATTAAACTGTTCTTTTTCTAGTTAATGTTGTGTTTCATTGAAAATCAAATTTAACAAGGAAAAACTTTGAGATTTCTTTAACAAGGAAAAAGTGAAAGGAAGAGATTGAAACAACCCCTTTAGGATTTCAAATTAAGCTTCAAATAGCTGATTCACTGGACCTTCACTGAGTTTTTCTTGCACTTCCAATAACTTCTCATCATCAAAATTTATCTGCCATGCTCAAACTTGGTTATGCCTTAGGTTTTGCAATGCGATATGTTAATAAAAAGAGTTACACCTATAGACCTTTTACTGTGTCTATGGCAATGACTGATACAATAAAAACTGCAGATGGTAGACGTGGTGGAAATCATGGTCATGGAGGTTCTTATGGGCAAGGTAGAGGTATGTTTTTCAAAGCTTTTGATTCAGTTCTAATGCTCTACAACATTGTATTTTTCTGTCTACTGTTTCAGTAGAATAGATCTAACAAACAACTCTATCTTATGAGGAAAATAGACTATCATCGCAAGCGACACAGGGAATCTCGAAGAATCTCTGATCATGAATCTAGACCGGTATTCTCTTTTATACCTAAGCTACATCTTTTATTACTTTGGTCTTTTTCACCAGCATGTTCTGTTCCATCTTTTCATATGTAGTCTGTGCTCGCCACCATTTAAATTGAAATTATATAAAATTGGACAATGAAACAAAGTTTGTATAGATATCAAAAAGAGAAAATGCATAAAGACCCCATTAAACTTGTTCGGAAAAATTATTTACACACCTTAACTTTACGGGTGTCCTAAAACCCTACTATTCTTATCTAAACTAAATTTTATACCTCCTTCAAAATACCGAGCCAATCTTGTGGTGGGTTGTGTTAACACGCGCCATGTATCAAATACCGCACTATTTCCTTTTTCTTTCCTTTTTCCACTCTTTTTTTCATTTCATCTTCTCCAACTTCCTTCATCATTATTTTCGCACTCAGCCACCATGGAAGACAGTCACAACCATAACCTCCCTTAAACCCATAAACTCTATCTCTGAAAAATCAGAACCACCTCCCCTACCACTCCACTTTAGCACCTCTAATTTAACCATTTGTCCTTCACATTAATCTCACACACACCCTGATCTAAGTGAAAACAAGAGAAAATTTCTTGTACGAAAAATGGTATTTCAAGCTCTCCAATCAAGTATTAAAATTATTCCAACTTAAATCCATGACTCAATTTCTAAATCCACATCCCAAATATTATATAGTAAAAGAAAAAATGGGAGAAAAAGAAAAATGTGTGGAGAATAGGTAATCAACAAAGAAAAAATGGATCACCACTCACCGGTAATTACCATTAACCAAATCACCAGTATAAATATCAGGATTTTTTTTACTCTAATCTTCTTCCCTATTCTTCATTTCTAAAAATCACCACCAGGGTCTTCCGTGTACAGCGATCCAGGAAAAAATTTCCGTTATCCCTCCGCTATCTCCTTCTATCTCTGTATCTTTATAAAATTAAAATATAACACTATTCTTTATCTTCTTCAAATACTATTTTAAAAAAAATTCTAATCCGTATTATTGCATGGCGGTTAATTTTCTGAACCGGAATGTGTTAGATTTGTGCGTAGGGAAGCCGACGTTAAGGCCATTACTAGCGGCAACCAACGTAGCGGAGGTAGGTGAATATGGCGGAGGAAACATAGGAGTGGGAATGGCGATAAAAGAGAAGCAAAAAATAAACCGTGATTTAGTTTCAAAAAATGGGGAGGAAGATGGTGACAATGGTTCTGTTAAAATGAAGAAAGAGCAAAAGAAACGAAAAAGAAAAGAAAGATGAATAAGAAAAGAGAAAAAAATAGTATTAAGTTTAATTAGTTAGAGTATGCAATAGGAAAGTGACACTTGGACAAATAAATTAGTTTTAAGCTGTTTTTTTTTTGCCTCACGCGCTTCTACGAAATGAACTACACTTTTCATGACAGTTCATTATTCAATGGGGTATTAAATTTAGTTTAGATAAGAATAGTGGGATTTGCTTGGACATCCTTTTTTTGTAATTATGGGGGACTTCACAATTTTAGTGAAGTCTTATATCAATATACAACTATATTACCTTTTTCAAAATAAATAAAATAATAGTGGGGTGTTAGGACACCCGTAAAATTTAGGTGTATAAATGATTTTTCGTGACAAGTTTAATGGGTACTTTATGCATTTCTATAAAAGAAAGAGGTTCCCTGATTTTAGCTTGTGATTCAACGAATAAGAGTTTGAGCTTCAAATCTTTTATCTCTAATTTTTGTCCCCTCTTCGGTTTTAGTGATATTTGTTGTTGCAATATGACGTTTTCTTTTGCTGCAGGAGAAGAATCCATGTTTCCTTGAGAGTGGTGATTCTGATGAAGAGGAAGCGGCGTACTTAGTTCTGATTATTGGATCGCAATCTTCTTTATGAAATGCCATCATGGAACCAGTATAGAAGTCGCAGTACTTGGGGTTTTATTACTCAAAATCTGTAATTAGAGGCGAATCTAGGAATTGAAGGGGGTGGGTGCTACATTTCCTTTAATGTATACCTTGTTTTGACTATAATTTTTTTAGAAACACATATCCGTTTTGATTCCGTCTCCTCTGATCTTATTTAGATCAATTTAATAGGTTTTTGATTTGCAAATATGAAAATTACTTCTCTTATATCAAGAAACAAACAAATTCAATATTTTCAACAAGAAATCATATCTTTATTGTTGCGGAAGCCAAATGTATATAGTGTGAATAAGTCACAACTACTATACCAAAATTA